ATCACACGTAGACGATGGTGTCGAAGTGATGGATGCCAATGTCACGATCACATCGACATCATTTGCACCTGATGATGATGACGATGCTAGAAATTCAGCATCTTCAACGACTGCTGCAGTGAGGACGATGACGCCCTCACTGGTGAAAACAACGTTCTTTTAGCAGTGCACAAGAAGTGCACTGATGTTAACAACGATGAATCGGCAGAGGAATTTCCGCTGACTCTCATGGCGGATGTCCGCTTCGTTCAAGACTCCATTGCAAAATGCAGTTGATAAACGAAAAAGAAACAAAGACAAACATGGATAGCAAATGTTCTTTATTTGATAAAGGAGACTTAGTTTTATTGTCAAAAGTAAATCTACGAAAACACAAAGTGAAAAATGTGGGCGGAAGGTTTTTACGCCCAAGCATATCAGTCCGACTGCGTGTGTTGCGCCGCATGGGCAACGCAAACACGATTGAACTGCCTTGTAGGATGCGTATGCATCCTAAGAGTTCCGTTGGACGTCTCCGCCCGTACAATCAGTACGAGTCCGTTTCGAGAGGCGAAGACACCTCCGCGGACAAGGACCGAGACCACCTTCGAGTGGTCCCAATCAACGAAGCCAGTCTGGTAGACTAGCGAAGAGACCTGCTCACACCAGTTGAGGTGATGTCCTGACTTGAGGTGCTGTCAGCTCGTCACGAGAAGAACGAATTGAACTTTCGTTGTCAAGTTGCGCAAACGCAACACAGCACAATCATTAGAACGATCGTGCGCTGAGTAATTGTAATTATCGTTTACCAGGTTATAAAATCTCCTGCCGCCGAGAATCCGTTCATGAGACAGATCATCTTGTAACTGTTCCGTTACACACAGTTATTGAACATCAAGTTGATCTGACCCTCAAGCCGGATCAGGTGTTCCCGCCGCCACCACATTCTCTGGTGGATTCTGGCGGTGGTCAACGCTTTCGGTGGAGCGTATTTTGAACCACCGCAACCTGGAGTGCATCCGGACGAATTTTTTTTACCTCGTCCGCTGGCGTGGCATTACCGGTCTGGGACAGCTGGGAGCCTCGTGCACTTTGGCTGGTAGTTGATGTCCTTGGTCTCGTCAAGCAGGATGACGAGACCCACCCGCTACGCTTGAAGAAAGGCCATCGAAGAATGACCTCTCCTACAGTGAGTGCGGGAATGCAAATTGTCAATCCCTTCGGTCATCTCAGAAGAGATGCGCGCCCTCAGTAGGGATCAGTAGGGAGTAAAGGCCTCCCCTAGGGGCACGATTCGAGTTTTCCAGGCAATTTGCACACGAATCACCTCACGAGAGACAATTTAATCCTGCCTCTTTTTTGAAAGTCGATGCAAAAACATCTTACCCGACTGGGTCACGCTTCTTAAACCTGATGCGAGCTGCATCAAGCCAGGCCTCATGGACAATACACTCCGATGTTTTGGATGAAGGCATGCCATTCTTACACAAGGCCTTACCGTCTCTACCACGGTTGCCGATATACCAATGATGTTAAAAAACGCATCGGTAAAGAACTCTTTCTCAGAACGAATAATTTCCGTGCTGGAATTAGGAGGACTGATCCTTCTGCAGTCGATCAACAGGATTCGATCCTGATCGGTGGTCATGCTGGCCACTCGATCTAACTCTTTGGATGACGGCATGCAAGGAGACTCACTTTGAGCGTGGCGCGACATTTCTGTCCTGGCCTTTTGAGTGATGTCAGCACGAGCAGTGACACCAGTGGCAGCTCGATCCCTCGAGCTACTTCTCTCGTGGTGATGCATAGGGCATCGCCACTATCACCATGCGGCCTATCGTCGGATGGAATTGCGTGAAGAGGGCGGATTCGTCAGACGAATCGCTCGATTACGAAGATATCTCGGACATGATGCCGCCCGTTACCCAGAGCCAGTCAACCTGGATATTGCAGGTGTGTCCGCGGATGATCAGGAGGAGCAATACGTGGCGCTCGGTATTGCTTCGTTCACCGGTTATCATATCGATTTGAGGAAGTGTCAACAGGAGCGATCAAGATCAGTCGCGATGCCACATTCATGGAAGACAAGTTTGATGAAGGTCCGCGCAACTACAACGATGAGTCAAGTGCCGTTGAGTTTGATGATCAAGACGAGGACGAAGAAAAAGAAGAAGGTAAAACTGACGACGACATGGACTCGAGCGACGATGACAACGAAGACACCAGGTCTTCGAAGAGCAACATCAAGAGACACACGCGCACTCAATCACTTGAGAAAGCTACCGTCATTCCAAGTCCCAAGCGAAGAACGTACAGAGGTCCGTCGCTTGAGCATGTGTCAGCGGCTGCAATGGATTTTGAAGCAGCCTACATCGTTGATTCAGTGGGGGAAACGCCGACTACATTCAAGTCGGCGATGGAATCAAGCGACTCCGGCAAGTGGAAAGAAGCGTGTGACTCGGAGTTCGACTCGCTTCAGAGAAACGACACGTGGGAAATCGTGCCTCTTCCGAAAGGTCGCAAGGCCATCGGGTGCCGATGGGTTTTTCGTGTAAAGGAGAATCAAGATAGCGAAGTTGAACGTTTCAAGGCAAGACTTGTGGCCAAAGGATTCTCACAGAAATTCGGAGTTGACTATGAAGAAACTTTCGCACCGGTGGCCAAGTTCACATCGATTCGTGTGGTGCTCAGTATGGCGGCCAAGTACGGCCTAATGCTACATCAGATGGACGTCAAGACAGCGTTTCTTAACGGCTCCCTCAACGAAGACATCTACATGGACCAGCCGGACGGATACCTGGATGCAACACAGCCGGACTATGTGTGCAAGCTAAAGAGATCACTCTACGGCTTGAAGCAATCGCCTCGCATGTGGAACCAAACAATCGATGGGTTCATGATCAAGATGGGATTCAAGAAGTGCGAATCGGACCACTGCATCTACATCAAGCGAGACGACCAAGACATGATTCTCGTGGTGCTCTACGTCGATGATCTCATCCTGGCCAGCAGCAACAACGAACTCCTCAAGTCGACCAAGATGGCGCTGAGCAAACGCTTCGAAATGACGGATCTCGGTGAGCTCGATTACTTTCTCGGCATGGAGATCAAGAACGACCGTAAGACGGGAATGGTGACTGTGCAACAAACCAAGTTTCTCAAGTCCGTGTTAACCAAGTTCGGAATGGATAACAGCAAGCCAGTGAAGACGCCTCAAGATCCCGGCCTGAAGCTAACCAAGAACATGTGTGAACAAGAATGCAAGCACGAAGACACCATATGCAACGTGCCATATCGAAGTGCTGTCGGAGGCATCATGTATCTCATGGTCGCCACACGTCCGGATCTAGCTGCTGCAGTGGGATCATTATCCCAGTTCTCGTCCGACCCATGCCCGACTCACTGGCAAGCTTTGAAGCGTGTGCTGAGATACCTGCAAGCAACGCCCAATCATGGTCTTGAGTTTACACGTGAAGAAGGAAGCCGTATCTGCGGGTACACCGACGCAGACTGGGCCGGCGACATTGAGTCAAGACGAAGTACAAGCGGCTATGTGTTCATGATGAACGGAGGATGCATCAGCTGGAAAAGCCAGAAACAACGGACGGTCGCGCTATCTTCAACAGAAGCAGAATACATGGCGCTTTCCGAAGCAACCAAAGAAGCAGTATGGCTCAAGGTGCTTTTGGGGAACTTGGTGAGATGACAAGCGACGAAGCGATCAAGGTGTATGAAGACAACCAAGGATCAATCGCTCTCGCCAAGAACCCGGAGTTCCATAAGAGAACAAAACACATCGACATACGCTACCATTTTGTGCGTGAGAAGGTGGAATCAGGTGAAGTCGTTTTGGAGTATCGCCCGACTCAAGATATGCTGGCAGACATGATGACCAAGCCGATCGCCGCTGTACAATTTGAAAACATTCGCGATCGACTTGGGATCCAAGGTACCGCAGCTAACGAGTCGAGAGGGAGTGTTGAAAAGACAGCGGCTGTGAAGAAGACACCTCGTCAAGCTGCGTCAAGTGTTGAAGCAAGTGGAAGACCAAGCTTCGCTATACCGGTGGGTACCGGTATGTACCAGTAAGGGCGAAGTCAGGAAATGACGTCATTGGATGACGTCAGTGGGTGACTTCAGTGGGTGACGTCACTGGATGACGTCACTGCGAATAATAGGCTTAGAGGTAGTATTCAAAGTTGCGAACTAAGTACCTATTATAAATATATATTCACTTTGCGTTTTGCACTCGGACCAAGAAGTCTAAAGTTCATCAATGCATCACTGCAACGAGGTCCTCAACATCTCCGCCAAGCTTAGCGGCATCGGTGCGAAGATGGAAGACGAAGACGTTGCAATTTGTCTGCTACTCAGTCTTCCAAAGAGCTACGAAAATGTGGTGCTCAACATGGAAATGAGCAGCACCGAGCTTTGCACTCAAGATGTGGTGAAAGTCCTGACGAAAGAGCATGCCAAGCGTCAAGGAGAAAAAGGGACAACGACAGCGACTACGGTGAAGGCTGAAGATGCAAGCAAGGCATTCAGCGCCGAGCGTGAGCCCTACCAATGCACGTATTGTGGCAAGGTGGGACACACGGTGGATCGTTGCTGGACAAAGCAGAAGAACGAAGGTCGGGGAGCCCGACGCGGCGGCAATGGTCGTGGACGCGGGGCTAACAATGTCCAGTGGGGACATCATGATGAAGGCAATGGATACGATCGAGTGGCGTTTGCAGTATCGTTCGAATGTGGAGTTTCGACGAGCAAGGACGTGTCTGGAATGTGGGCCGTCGACAGTGGTGCAACGCACCACATTTGCCACGACAAGACCAAGTTCGCAAGTTTGGCAGAGCGCAATGAGGGCGAACTCTTGGTGGCTGATGGCAACAAGGTGGCCATCAAGGGTGTGGGAACCATCATGGAAAAGGTGGTTCTGCCCAACGGTGAAGAGCGTGAGATCGAAATCAAGAACGCGCTATATGTTCCAAGTATGAGCAAGAACCTGCTCTCGGTGCCACAGATTAACAGCCATGGCAAGTTTCAAGTCGTGTTTGACGGGTCCAAGATGTATGTGACTCTCAAGAACTCACAGCAAGTGGTGGCGACAGCGGATCTCGTGGATGGACTCTACTGGCTTCGGACGACTCAACGATCAGCGAATGTGACAACAAGTGGAACCAGTTGTGCCGATCTACATGCGAGAATGGGTCATGCTCCAGTCGATGTACTTCGCAAGATGATCGCGACCAACATGATCAAGGATGTGCGAGTCCCTCTCAAGTCGGGTGGAGCAACTACATGTCGAGGATGTCAACAAGGGAAAATGGTCCAAAAACCATTTCCAAGCAACCGAGACAAGCGCAGCTACGATACGTTTGAGCTACTTCATCTGGACATCTGCGGGCCCATGGAAAAGGATTCGCTCGGTGGCAGCAAATATTTGCTGCTGATCATCGACGAAGCCAGTGGATGCATGAAGGGCTTTTGTCTACGAGTGAAGTCCGAGAGTGAAGACTACATCCGGAAATATATCACCATGGTACAGACGCAATTCTGTAAGAAGGTCAAGTTCGTGCGACACGACGGAGCTCGCGAGTTTGCAACCAACTCGCTTCAACTGTTCTACGAAGACGAAGGCATTGAACAGCAGACAACGGTGCCGTATGCACATCAAACAAACGGAACAGCAGAGCGTGTCATTAGGACTATTGTCACGATCGGCCGCAGCATGCTTCATCATGCCAAACTGGACAAGTGTTTCTGGGCCGAAGCAGCGATGACGGCCATCTACGTCAAGAATCGACTGCCGTCACCTAAAGTCGTGCACAAGACCCCGTTTGAGATCGTCTACAACTTGAAACCAAGCGTCAAGCACATGCGAACATTCGGGTGTCAGACATACATACTGACGCCTAAAGAGAATCGACTCAAGTGGGATCCAAAGGCTCGCGCTGGCATATTCGTGGGCTACGAAGAAGTTTCGAAGGCATATCGTGTTTATGACATCGAGGCGGGGCAGGTGGTTATCAGCCGCGATGTCAACTTCGACGAGTCCACCTTTGGACTTCAACTGCCGATCACTGATGAAGATGTCGATGACCTGGACTTCGAATTGCTGGATCTTGATGACGAAGAGCTGCGTCAAATGGAGTACAAGCAAACAGGCAAGCGCAAGAACCGACTCAATGATGAAGATACAGCAGCTCCACTACCGCGTGCAGTGCGTCAACGACCAGGACTAGAAGAGTCAAGCGCGCCGGAAAACAACTCGTCACGACAAGAAGAAGACGAAGAAACGAAGGATTCTGGTGATTCAACACCGCCTGTGTTTTGGCGTGCGAGTGCAAATGCCGTTGAAGCAGCAGTGGACTTATCAGAACCCTCAACATTTGAAGCAGCAGTAAGCGGCCCTGACCAAGTGCACTGGAGAAAAGCAATTCATGCAGAGCTCGAGTCAATGCGACTTCGCGGTGTGTTTCGTGCAGCCAAGCTGCCCAACGGACAACGCGCCATTGGCACAAACTGGGTGTTCAAGATCAAGCGCAAGGCGAATGGATCGATCGAGAAGTACAAGGCACGACTTGTGGCCAAGGGTTTCCGCCAAAAGTATGGCATCGACTACACGGAGACGTTTTCGCCTGTGGTCAAGTATGTGACGCTGCGAATGGTGATCGCAATTTCCAAGCATTTTGGATGGCCCATCGACCAGCTTGATGTGGTGACAGCTTTCCTGTATGGCGTCATGAAGGAACAAGTGTTCTGCGTGATTCCTGAAGGCGTCGAACTTGACAGTACGTTCGACTGCCTGGAATTGGTGAAGTCAATTTACGGCCTCAAGCAAGCGTCGCGAGTGTGGAACGAGACGTTCGACGAGTATGTGTGCTCCATCGGATTTCAAGTATCGGACTTCGACCCATGTCTCTACATCAAGACTTCGGACGGCCATTGCGTGTTTATACTGGTCTACGTGGACGACGTCTTGGTGACTGGAAGCTCGCTCGAGCTGATTGCACAAACCAAGAACGACCTGAAGACGCGGTTCGAAATGACGGACAGCGGCAAGTGTGCGTTTGTGTTGAAAAGACAGCGGCTGTGAAGAAGACACCTCGTCAAGCTGCGTCAAGTGTTGAAGCAAGTGGAAGACCAAGCTTCGCTATACCGGTGGGTACCGGTATGTACCAGTAAGGGCGAAGTCAGGAAATGACGTCACTGGATGACGTCACTGCGAATAATAGGCTTAGAGTTAGTATTCAAAGTTGCGAACTAAGTACCTATTATAAATATATATTCACTTTGCGTTTTGCACTCGGACCAAGAAGTCTAAAGTTCATCAGGTTATGAGCCCAAGTTCGTCAGACTCTGAAACCGCCAACAATTCAAGCTTAGCTGCCATGGACGCCTCCTCCCTCCGCATCTCCAAGTTCGATGGAACTAACTTCCACGCCTGGAAGTTCAAGATGCAGATGGTGCTGGAGGAACGGGACCTATGGGAGGTCGTCAGCGGTGAGATCAAGGCGGAACAGTGCGAGACTCAGTTGGACCAAGCGACGTACAAGAGGAAGTCAAGAAAGGCGATGGCAGTGATCTGTCTAGCCATGGAAGATTCCCAGCTACCGTTGGTCCGGTCGGCAAGTGGTGCATGCGACGCATGGTCAAGGTTGGAAGACCACTTCGAGAAGAAGAGTCTTGCCAACAAGCTGTTCTTGCGCCGTCGCTTCTTCACGACAATGATGGAAGAAGGCGACGATGTGCTCGAACACATCAACAAGCTCAAGACGCTGGCGGAACAGCTAGAAGCGGTGGGGGCTCCAGTCTGCGAGGACGATCTGGTGATTGATTAACTTTAGACTTCTTGGTCCGAGTGCAAAACGCAAAGTGAATATATATTTATAATAGGTACTTAGTTCGCAACTTTGAATACTACCTCTAAGCCTATTATTCGCAGTGACGTCATCCAGTGACGTCACCCACTGACGTCACCCACTGACGTCATGCAATGACGTCATCCAGTGACGTCATTTCCTGACTTCGCCCTTACTGGTACATACCGGTACCCACCGGTATAGCGAAGCTTGGTCTTCCACTTGCTTCAACACTTGACGCAGCTTGACGAGGTGTCTTCTTCACAGCCGCTGTCTTTTCAACCCCCCACTCCCTCTCGACTCGTTAGCTGCGGCACCTTGGATCCCAAGTCGATCGCGAATGTTTTCAAATTGTACAGCGGCGATCGGCTTGGTCATCATGTCTGCCAGCATATCTTGAGTCGGGCAATACTCCAAAACGACTTCACCTGATTCCACCTTCTCACGCACAAAATGGTAGCGTATGTCGATGTGTTTTGTTCTCTTATGGAACTCCGGGTTCTTGGCGAGAGCGATTGATCATTGGTTGTCTTCATACATCTTGATCGCTTCGTCGCTTGTCATCTCACCAAGTTCCCCCAAAAGCACCTTGAGCCATACTGCTTCTTTGGTTGCTTCGGAAAGCGCCATGTATTCTGCTTCTGTTGAAGATAGCGCGACCGTCCGTTGTTTCTGGCTTTTCCAGCTGATGCATCCTCCGCTCATCATGAACACATAGCCGCTTGTACTTCGTCTTGACTCAATGTCGCCGGCCCAGTCTGCGTCGGTGTACCCGCAGATACGGCTTCCTTCTTCACGTGTAAACTCAAGACCATGATTGGGCGTTGCTTGCAGGTATCTCAGCACACGCTTCAAAGCTTGCCAGTGAGTCGGGCATGGGTCGGACGAGAACTGGGATAATGATCCCACTGCAGCAGCTAGATCCGGACGTGTGGCGACCATGAGATACATGATGCCTCCGACAGCACTTCGATATGGCACGTTGCACATGGTGTCTTCGTGCTTGCATTCTTGTTCACACATGTTCTTGGTTAGCTTCAGGCCGGGATCTTGAGGCGTCTTCACTGGCTTGCTGTTATCCATTCCGAACTTGGTTAACACGGACTTGAGAAACTTGGTTTGTTGTACAGTCACCATTCCCGTCTTACGGTCGTTCTTGATCTCCATGCCGAGAAAGTAATCGAGCTCACCGAGATCCGTCATTTCGAAGCGTTTGCTCAGCACCATCTTGGTTGACTTGAGGAGTTCGTTGTTGCTGCTGGCCAGGATGAGATCATCGACGTAGAGCACGACGAGAATCATGTCTTGGTCGTCTCGCTTGATGTAGATGCAGTGGTCCGATTCGCACTTCTTGAATCCCATCTTGATCATGAACCCATCGATTGTTTGGTTCCACATGCGAGGCGATTGCTTCAAGCCGTAGAGTGATCTCTTTAGCTTGCACACATAGTCCGGCTGTGTTGCATCCAGGTATCCGTCCGGCTGGTCCATGTAGATGTCTTCGTTGAGGGAGCCGTTAAGAAACGCTGTCTTGACGTCCATCTGATGTAGCATTAGGCCGTACTTGGCCGCCATACTGAGCACCACACGAATCGATGTGAACTTGGCCACCGGTGCGAAAGTTTCTTCATAGTCAACTCCGAATTTCTGTGAGAATCCTTTGGCCACAAGTCTTGCCTTGAAACGTTCAACTTCGCCATCTTGATTCTCCTTTACACGAAAAACCCATCGGCACCCGATGGCCTTGCGACCTTTCGGAAGAGGCACGATTTCCCACGTGTCGTTTCTCTGAAGCGAATCGAACTCCGAGTCACACGCTTCTTTCCACTTGCCGGAGTCGCTTGATTCCATCGCCGACTTGAATGTAGTCGGCGTTTCCCCACTGAATCAACGATGTAGGCTGCTTCAAAATCCATTGCAGCCGCTGACACATGCTCAAGCGACGGACCTCTGTATGTTCTTCGCTTGGAACTTGGAATGACGGTAGCTTTCTCAAGTGATTGAGTGCGCGTGTGTCTCTTGATGTTGCTCTTCGAAGACCTGGTGTCTTCGTTGTCATCGTCGCTCGAGTCCATGTCGTCGTCAGTTTTACCTTCTTCTTTTTCTTCGTCCTCATCATGATCATCAAACTCAACGACACTTGACTCATCGTTGTAGTTGCGCGGACCTTCATCAAACTTGTCTTCCATGAATGTGGCATCGCGACTGATCTTGATCGCTCCTGTTGACACTTCCTCAAATCGATATGACTTCTGGTGTTCGGCGTATCCCAGGAAACGACAGAGTGATGACTTGGAGTCGAACTTCGCGCGTTTGTCTTGAGGCACTTGAACATACGCGTGGCATCCAAACACTTTAAGGTTGGCCAGAATCGGTTTCTTCATCGTCCACACTTGATATGGAGACTTGTCTTGGTGAATGGCACGTGTTGGACAGCGGTTTCGAAGAAACATCGCCGTCATCACTGCTTCACCCCAGTAGCTCTTTCCCAGTCCAGCGTGTTCCATCATGCAACGCGCACACTCGACCAGCGTGCGATTCATTCTCTCAGCTACTCCGTTTAGCTGAGGAGTATATGGGGGTGTGAACCTTTGTTGTATTCCCCGTTCCGCGCAGAATCGTGCCAGCTTGTCGGACTTGTATTCACCCCCATTGTCGCTTTGAAGGTACTTCACGCGCTTTCCGGTTTGCGTTTCGGCCATCGCAGCGTATTCCATGAACTTCGCCGCAACTTCAGATTTGCTCTTGAGCAGATAGACGACACAGTATCTTGACTTGTCATCAATGAATGTCACGAAGTACCGTTTTCCACTGAAAGTTGCCATCGACATCGGTCCGCATACGTCGCTGTGAATCACTTCGAGGAGTTTGGAGGTGCGAGCTGTAGTGTTTGATTGGAAGCGCACTCGAGTCTGTTTTCCCAGAGCACAACCTTCACACACGTCCCACTTCTTCACCGAAGATATGTCGATGCCAATTCCAATGTTCTTCGTCACAATGCAATTGAGTCCATCGTGACCTATGTGGCCAAGCCGAAGGTGCCAGAGGTACGACTTGGTGCCCCCTTGACATCCCGACGACTTGGCTGCATTTGCTTGTTCCGGCGCCACTGGAGTCATTTGCAGCTTGAACAGTCCTTTACCTTCACGGGCACCAATTTTCCACTTGGTCCCTTTCGCTTTCCATAGCACCCATCCTTCGTGAACGTCACTGGGCCGACATCCTTGGTGAAGCGGCCGACCGAGAACAGGTTTCTGGATAACTTTGGGATGTGCCACACGTTTGTGAGCACACCTTTCTTCATCCCTTGGGGTGTCTTCATCGACATGACAATGTCCCCACTGCCGATTGCTTGGACGATTCCATCATCCGCGAGATGGACATCCACAGCGTCAAACCCCTTGTAGTTCCGCATGAACTTCTTGGAGCACGTCATGTGCTGCGTCGCCCCGGAGTCGACCAGCCAGATGTCGCTCGATTTCGCAGATGTCGTTTCACCGATCGAAAAGAGGTAGTCGCCCGAGTCTTCTTCTTGAGCGACGTTTGCACGTTGTGATCGATAGCGGTCGCCGCTGTCTTGAGCACGCTGTGGCCGGTGTCTCTCCGTGTTTTCTTGGATGCGCGAGGGGCACTCCGCCATCCAGTGACCAATCTTTCCGCAATTGTGGCACGGCCAGGACTTCTTCACTGGTCGCCCTTTGCGCTGATTGTCCCTTGTGATGAACGCTTGACCTTGCGAAGCTTCATCACCTTTACTTCCTCTCCTCCCTCCGCTTCATTTCTTCATGAAGCAGTCGAGACGTCACGAGCTCCCAGCTAAGAGTGTCTGAGCGCGACTCCAAAGCTGTGATCAAGAATTGATACGAGTCACTCAGGCTGCCGAGAAGTGTGATCACCAGATCGTCCTCGCAGACTGGAGCCCCCACCGCTTCTAGCTGTTCCGCCAGCGTCTTGAGCTTGTTGATGTGTTCGAGTACATCGTCGCCTTCTTCCATCATTGTCGTGAAGAAGCGACGGCGCAAGAACAGCTTGTTGGCAAGACTCTTCTTCTCGAAGTGGTCTTCCAACCTTGACCATGCGTCGCATGCACCACTTGCCGACCGGACCAACGGTAGCTGGGAATCTTCCATGGCTAGACAGATCACTGCCATCGCCTTTCTTGACTTCCTCTTGTACGTCGCTTGGTCCAACTGAGTCTCGCACTGTTCCGCCTTGATCTCACCGCTGACGACCTCCCATAGGTCCCGTTCCTCCAGCACCATCTGCATCTTGAACTTCCAGGCGTGGAAGTTAGTTCCATCGAACTTGGAGATGCGGAGGGAGGGAGGCGTCCATGGCAGCTAAGCTTGAATTGTTGGCGGTTTCAGAGTCTGACGAACTTGGGCTCATAACCTGATGAACTTTAGACTTCTTGGTCCGAGTGCAAAACGCAAAGTGAATATATATTTATAATAGGTACTTAGTTCGCAACTTTGAATACTACCTCTAAGCCTATTATTCGCAGTGACGTCATCCAGTGACGTCACCCAGTGACGTCACCCACTGACGTCATGCAATGACGTCATCCAGTGACGTCATTTCCTGACTTCGCCCTTACTGGTACATACCGGTACCCACCGGTATAGCGAAGCTTGGTCTTCCACTTGCTTCAACACTTGACGCAGCTTGACGAGGTGTCTTCTTCACAGCCGCTGTCTTTTCAACACATGAACCCATCGATTGTTTGGTTCCACATGCGAGGCGATTGCTTCAAGCCGTAGAGTGATCTCTTTAGCTTGCACACATAGTCCGGCTGTGTTGCATCCAGGTATCCGTCCGGCTGGTCCATGTAGATGTCTTCGTTGAGGGAGCCGTTAAGAAACGCTGTCTTGACGTCCATCTGATGTAGCATTAGGCCGTACTTGGCCGCCATACTGAGCACCACACGAATCGATGTGAACTTGGCCACCGGTGCGAAAGTTTCTTCATAGTCAACTCCGAATTTCTGTGAGAATCCTTTGGCCACAAGTCTTGCCTTGAAACGTTCAACTTCGCCATCTTGATTCTCCTTTACACGAAAAACCCATCGGCACCCGATGGCCTTGCGACCTTTCGGAAGAGGCACGATTTCCCACGTGTCGTTTCTCTGAAGCGAATCGAACTCCGAGTCACACGCTTCTTTCCACTTGCCGGAGTCGCTTGATTCCATCGCCGACTTGAATGTAGTCGGCGTTTCCCCCACTGAATCAACGATGTAGGCTGCTTCAAAATCCATTGCAGCCGCTGAAACATGCTCAAGCGACGGACCTCTGTATGTTCTTCGCTTGGGACTTGGAATGACGGTAGCTTTCTCAAGTGATTGAGTGCGCGTGTGTCTCTTGATGTTGCTCTTCGAAGACCTGGTGTCTTCGTTGTCATCGTCGCTCGAGTCCATGTCGTCGTCAGTTTTACCTTCTTCTTTTTGTTCGTCCTCATCATGATCATCAAACTCAACGACACTTGACTCATCGTTGTAGTTGCGCGGACCTTCATCAAACTTGTCTTCCATGAATGTGGCATCGCGACTGATCTTGATCGCTCCTGTTGACACTTCCTCAAATCGATATGACTTCTGGTGTTCGGCGTATCCCAGGAAACGACAGAGTGATGACTTGGAGTCGAACTTCGCGCGTTTGTCTTGAGGCACTTGAACATACGCGTGGCATCCAAACACTTTAAGGTTGGCCAGAATCGGTTTCTTCATCGTCCACACTTGATATGGAGACTTGTCTTGGTGAATGGCACGTGTTGGACAGCGGTTTCGAAGAAACATCGCCGTCATCACTGCTTCACCCCAGTAGCTCTTTCCCAGTCCAGCGTGTTCCATCATGCAACGCGCACACTCGACCAGCGTGCGATTCATTCTCTCAGCTACTCCGTTTAGCTGAGGAGTATATGGGGGTGTGAACCTTTGTTGTATTCCCCGTTCCGCGCAGAATCGTGCCAGCTTGTCGGACTTGTATTCACCCCCATTGTCGCTTTGAAGGTACTTCACGCGCTTTCCGGTTTGCGTTTCGGCCATCGCAGCGTATTCCATGAACTTCGCCGCAACTTCAGATTTGCTCTTGAGCAGATAGACGACACAGTATCTTGACTTGTCATCAATGAATGTCACGAAGTACCGTTTTCCACTGAAAGTTGCCATCGACATCGGTCCGCATACGTCGCTGTGAATCACTTCGAGGAGTTTGGAGGTGCGAGCTGTAGTGTTTGATTGGAAGCGCACTCGAGTCTGTTTTCCCAGAGCACAACCTTCACACACGTCCCACTTCTTCACCGAAGATATGTCGATGCCAATTCCAATGTTCTTCGTCACGATGCAATTGAGTCCATCGTGACCTATGTGGCCAAGCCGAAGGTGCCAGAGGTACGACTTGGTGCCCCCTTGACATCCCGACGACTTGGCTGCATTTGCTTGTTCCGGCGCCACTGGAGTCATTTTGCAGCTTGAACAGTCCTTTACCTTCACGGGCACCAATTTTCCACTTGGTCCCTTTCGCTTCTCCATAGCACCCATCCTTCGTGAACGTCACTGGGCCGACATCCTTGGTGAAGCGGCCGACCGAGAACAGGTTTCTGGATAACTTTGGGATGTGCCACACGTTTGTGAGCACACCTTTCTTCATCCCTTGGGGTGTCTTCATCGACATGACAATGTCCCCACTGCCGATTGCTTGGACGATTCCATCATCCGCGAGATGGACATCCACAGCGTCAAACCCCTTGTAGTTCCGCATGAACTTCTTGGAGCACGTCATGTGCTGCGTCGCCCCGGAGTCGACCAGCCAGATGTCGCTCGATTTCGCAGATGTCGTTTCACCGATCGAAAAGAGGTAGTCGCCCGAGTCTTCTTCTTGAGCGACGTTTGCACGTTGTGATCGATAGCGGTCGCCGCTGTCTTGAGCACGCTGTGGCCGGTGTCTCTCCGTGTTTTCTTGGATGCGCGAGGGGCACTCCGCCATCCAGTGACCAATCTTTCCGCAATTGTGGCACGGCCAGGACTTCTTCACTGGTCGCCCTTTGCGCTGATTGTCCCTTGTGATGAACGCTTGACCTTGCGAAGCTTCATCACCTTTACTTCCTTGCTCCTTCCGCTTCATTTCTTCATGAAGCAGTCGAGACGCCACGAGCTCCCAGCTAAGAGTGTCTGAGCGCGACTCCAAAGCTGTGATCAAGAATTGATACGAGTCACTCAGGCTGCCGAGGAGTGTGATCACCAGATCGTCCTCGCAGACTGGAGCCCCCACCGCTTCTAGCTGTTCCGCCAGCGTCTTGAGCTTGTTGATGTGTTCGAGCACATCGTCGCCTTCTTCCATCATTGTCGTGAAGAAGCGACGGCGCAAGCACAGCTTGTTGGCAAGACTCTTCTTCTCGAAGTGGTCTTCCAACCTTGACCATGCGTCGCATGCACCACTTGCCGACCGGACCAACGGTAGCTGGGAATCTTCCATGGCTAGACAGATCACTGCCATCGCCTTTCTTGACTTCCTCTTGTACGTCGCTTGGTCCAACTGAGTCTCGCACTGTTCCGCCTTGATCTCACCGCTGACGACCTCCCATAGGTCCCGTTCCTCCAGCACCATCTGCATCTTGAACTTCCAGGCGTGGAAGTTAGTTCCATCGAACTTGGAGATGCGGAGGGAGGGAGGCGTCCATGGCAGCTAAGCTTGAATTGTTGGCGGTTTCAGAGTCTGACGAACTTGGGCTCATAACCTGATGAACTTTAGACTTCTTGGTCCGAGTGCAAAACGCAAAGTGAATATATATTTATAATAGGTACTTAGTTCGCAACTTTGAATACTACCTCTAAGCCTATTATTCGCAGTGACGTCATCCAGTGACGTCACCCACTGACGTCACCCACTGACGTCATGCAATGACGTCATCCAGTGACGTCATTTCCTGACTTCGCCCTTACTGGTACATACCGGTACCCACCGGTATAGCGAAGCTTGGTCTTCCACTTGCTTCAACACTTGACGCAGCTTGACGAGGTGTCTTCTTCACAGCCGCTGTCTTTTCAACAGTGATCACACTCCTCGGCAGCCTGAGTGACTCGTATCAATTCTTGATCACAGCTTTGGAGTCGCGCTCAGACACTCTTAGCTGGGAGCTCGTGACGTCTCGACTGCTTCATGAAGAAATGAAGCGGAAGGAGCAAGGAAGTAAAGGTGATGAAGCTTCGCAAGGTCAAGCGTTCATCACAAGGGACAATCAGTGCAAAGGGCGACCAGTGAAGAAGTCCTGGCCGTGCCACAATTGCGGAAAGATTGGTCACTGGATGGCGGAGTGCCCCTCGCGCATCCAAGAAAACACGGAGAGACACCGGCCACAGCGTGCTCAAGACAGCGGCGACCGCTATCGATCACAACGTGCAAACGTCGCTCAAGAAGAAGACTCGGGCAACTACCTCTTTTCGATCGGTGAAACGACATCTGCGAAATCGAGCGACATCTGGCTGGTCGACTCCGGGGCGACGCAGCACATGACGTGCTCCAAGAAGTTCATGCGGAACTACAAGGGGTTTGACGCTGTGGATGTCCATCTCGCGGATGATGGAATCGTCCAAGCAATCGGCAGTGGGGACATTGTCATGTCGATGAAGACACCCCAAGGGATGAAGAAAGGTGTGCTCACAAACGTGTGGCACATCCCAAAGTTATCCAGAAACCTGTTCTCGGTCGGCCGCTTCACCAAGGATGTCGGCCCAGTGACGTTCACGAAGGATGGGTGCTATGGAGAAGCGAAAGGGACCAAGTGGAAAATTGGTGCCCGTGAAGGTAAAGGACTGTTCAAGCTGCAAATGACTCCAGTGGCGCCGGAACAAGCAAATGCAGCCAAGTCGTCGGGATGTCAAGGGGGCACCAAGTCGTACCTCTGGCACCTTCGGCTTGGCCACATAGGTCACGATGGACTCAATTGCATCGTGACGAAGAACATTGGAATTGGCATCGACATATCTTCGGTGAAGAAGTGGGACGTGTGTGAAGGTTGTGCTCTGGGAAAACAGACTCGAGTGCGCTTCCAATCAAACACTACAGCTCGCACCTCCAAACTCCTCGAAGTGATTCACAGCGACGTATGCGGACCGATGTCGATGGCAACTTTCAGTGGAAAACGGTACTTCGTGACATTCATTGATGACAAGTCAAGATACTGTGTCGTCTATCTGCTCAAGAGCAAATCTGAAGTTGCGGCGAAGTTCATGGAATACGCTGCGATGGCCGAAACGCAAACCGGAAAGCGCGTGAAGTACCTTCAAAGCGACAATGGGGGTGAATACAAGTCCGACAAGCTGGCACGATTCTGCGCGGAACGGGGAATACAACAAAGGTTCACACCCCCCATATACTCCCCCAGCTAAACGGAGTAGCTGAGAGAATGAATCGCACGCTGGTCGAGTGTGCGCGTTGCATGATGGAACACGCTGGACTGGGAAAGAGCTACTGGGGTGAAGCAGTGATGACGGCGATGTTTCTTCGAAACCGCTGTCCAACACGTGCCATTCACCAAGACAAGTCTCCATATCAAGTGTGGACGATAAAGAAACCGATTCTGGCCAACCTTAAAGTGTTTGGATGCCACGCGTATGTTCAAGTGCCTCAAGACAAACGCGCGAAGTTCGACTCCAAGTCATCACTCTGTCGTTTCCTGGGATACGCCGAACACCAGAAGTCATATCGATTTGAGGAAGTGTCAACAGGAGCGATCAAGATCAGTCGCGATGCCACATTCATGGAAGACAAGTTTGATGAAGGTCCGCGCAACTACAACGATGAGTCAAGTGTCGTTGAGTTTGATGATCATGATGAGGACGAAGAAAAAGAAGAGAAGAGTAAAACTGACGACGACATGGACTCGAGCGACGATGACAACGAAGACACCAGGTCTTCGAAGAGCAACATCAAGAGACACACGCGCACTCAATCACTTGAGAAAGCTACCGTCATTCCAAGTCCCAAGCGAAGAACATACAGAGGTCCGTCGCTTGAGCATGTGTCAGCGGCTGCAATGGATTTTGAAGCAGCCTACATCGTTGATTCAGTGGGGAAACGCCGACTACATTCAAGTCGGCGATGGAATCAAGCGACTCCGGCAAGTGGAAAGAAGCGTGTGACTCGGAGTTCGATTTGCTTCAGAGAAACGACACGTGGGAAATCGTGCCTCTTCCGAAAGGTCGCAAGGCCATCGGGTGCCGATGGGTTTTTCGTGTAAAGGAGAATCAAGATGGCGAAGTTGAACGTTTCAAGGCAAGACTTGTGGCCAAAGGATTCTCACAGAAATTCGGAGTTGACTATGAAGAAACTTTCGCACCGGTGGCCAAGTTCACATCGATTCGTGTGGTGCTCAGTATGGCGGCTAAGTACGGCCTAATGCTACATCAGATGGACGTCAAGACAGCGTTTCTTAACGGCTCCCTCAACGAAGACATCTACATGGACCAGCCGGACGGATACCTGGATGCAACACAGCCGGACTATGTGTGCAAGCTAAAGAGATCACTCTACGGCTTGAAGCAATCGCCTCGCATGTGGAACCAAACAATCGATGGGTTCATGATCAAGATGGGATTCAAGAAGTGCGAATCGGACCACTGCATCTACATCAAGCGAGACGACCAAGACATGATTCTCGTGGTGCTCTACGTCGATGATCTCATCCTGGCCAGCAGCAACAACGAACTCCTCAAGTCAACCAAGATGGCGCTGAGCAAACGCTTCGAAATGACGGATCTCGGTGAGCTCGATTACTTTCTCGGCATGGAGATCAAGAACGACCGTAAGACGGGAATGGTGACTGTACAACAAACCAAGTTTCTCAAGTCCGTGTTAACCAAGTTCGGAATGGATAACAGCAAGCCAGTGAAGACGCCTCAAGATCCCGGCCTGAAGCTAAGCAAGAACATGTGTGAACAAGAATGCAAGCACGAAGACACCATGTGCAACGTGCCATATCGAAGTGCTGTCGGAGGCATCATGTATCTCATGGTCGCCACACGTCCGGATCTAGCTGCTGCAGTGGGATCATTATCCCAGTTCTCGTCCGACCATGCCCGACTCACTGGCAAGCTTTGAAGCGTGTGCTGAGATACCTGCAAGCAACGCCCAATCATGGTCTTGAGTTTACACGTGAAGAAGGAAGCCGTATCTGCGGGTACACCGACGCAGACTGGGCCGGCGACATTGAGTCAAGACGAAGTACAAGCGGCTATGTGTTCATGATGAGCGTGTTGAAAAGACAGCGGCTGTGAAGAAGACACCTCGTCAAGCTGCGTCAAGTGTTGAAGCAAGTGGAAGACCAAGCTTCGCTATACCGGTGGGTACCGGTATGTACCAGTAAGGGCGAAGTCAGGAAATGACGTCACTGGATGACGTCATTGCATGACGTCAGTGGGTGACGTCAGTGGGTGACGTCACTGGATGACGTCACTGCGAATAATAGGCTTAGAGGTAGTATTCAAAGTTGCGAACTAAGTACCTATTATAAATATATATTCACTTTGCGTTTTGCACTCGGACCAAGAAGTCTAAAGTTCATCAGGTTATGAGCCCAAGTTCGTCAGACTCTGAAACCGCCAACAATTCAAGCTTAGCTGCCATGGACGCCTCCTCCCTCCGCATCTCCAAGTTCGATGGAACTAACTTCCACGCCTGGAAGTTCAAGATGCAGATGGTGCTGGAGGAACGGGACCTATGGGAGGTCGTCAGCGGTGAGATCAAGGCGGAACAGTGCGAGACTCAGTTGGACCAAGCGACGTACAAGAGGAAGTCAAGAAAGGCGATGGCAGTGATCTGTCTAGCCATGGAAGATTCCCAGCTACCGTTGGTCCGGTCGGCAAGTGGTGCATGCGACGCATGGTCAAGGTTGGAAGACCACTTCGAGAAGAAGAGTCTTGCCAACAAGCTGTTCTTGCGCCGTCGCTTCTTCACGACAATGATGGAAGAAGGCGACGATGTGCTCGAACACATCAACAAGCTCAAGACGCTGGCGGAACAGCTAGAAGCGGTGGGGGCTCCAGTCTGCGAGGACGATCTGGTGATCACACTCCTCGGCAGCCTGAGTGACTCGTATCAATTCTTGATCACAGCTTTGGAGTCGCGCTCAGACACTCTTAGCTGGGAGCTCGTGACGTCTCGACTGCTTCATGAAGAAATGAAGCGGAAGGAGCAAGGGAGTCAAGGTGAATGGGAAGCTTCGCAAGGTCAAGCGTTCATCACAAGGGGACAATCAGCGCAAAGGGCGACCAGTGAAGAAGTCCTGGCCGTGCCACAATTGCGGAAAGATTGGTCACTGGATGGCGGAGTGCCCCTCGCGCATCCAAGAAAACACGGAGAGACACCGGCCACAGCGTGCTCAAGACAGCGGCGACCGCTATCGATCACAACGTGCAAACGTCGCTCAAGAAGAAGACTCGGGCGACTACCTCTTTTCGATCGGTGAAACGACATCTGCGAAATCGAGCGACATCTGGCTGGTCGACTCCGGGGCGACGCAGCACATGACGTGCTCCAAGAAGTTCATGCGGAACTACAAGGGGGTTTGACGCTGTGGATGTCCATCTCGCGGATGATGGAATCGTCCAAGCAATCGGCAGTGGGGACATTGTCATGTCGATGAAGACACCCCAAGGGATGAAGAAAGGTGTGCTCACAAACGTGTGGCACATCCCAAAGTTATCCAGAAACCTGTTCTCGGTCGGCCGCTTCACCAAGGATGTCGGCCCAGTGACGTTCACGAAGGATGGGTGCTATGGAGAAGCGAAAGGGACCAAGTGGAAAATTGGTGCCCGTGAAGGTAAAGGACTGTTCAAGCTGCAAATGACTCCAGTGGCGCCGGAACAAGCAAATGCAGCCAAGTCGTCGGGATGTCAAGGGGGCACCAAGTCGTACCTCTGGCACCTTCGGCTTGGCCACATAGGTCACGATGGACTCAATTGCATCGTGACGAAGAACATTGGAATTGGCATCGACATATCTTCGGTGAAGAAGTGGGACGTGTGTGAAGGTTGTGCTCTGGGAAAACAGACTCGAGTGCGCTTCCAATCAAACACTACAGCTCGCACCTCAAACTCCTCGAAGTGATTCACAGCGACGTATGCGGACCGATGTCGATGGCAACTTTCAGTGGAAAACGGTACTTCGTGACATTCATTGATGACAAGTCAAGATACTGTGTCGTCTATCTGCTCAAGAGCAAATCTGAAGTTGCGGCGAAGTTCATGGAATACGCTGCGATGGCCGAAACGCAAACCGGAAAGCGCGTGAAGTACCTTCAAAGCGACAATGGGGGTGAATACAAGTCCGACAAGCTGGCACGATTCTGCGCGGAACGGGGAATACAACAAGGTTCACACCCCCCATATACTCCTCAGCTAAACGGAGTAGCTGAGAGAATGAATCGCACGCTGGTCGAGTGTGCGCGTTGCATGATGGAACACGCTGGACTGGGAAAGAGCTACTGGGGTGAAGCAGTGATGACGGCGATGTTTCTTCGAAACCGCTGTCCAACACGTGCCATTCACCAAGACAAGTCTCCATATCAAGTGTGGACGATGAAGAAACCGATTCTGGCCAACCTTAAAGTGTTTGGATGCCACGCGTATGTTCAAGTGCCTCAAGACAAACGCGCGAAGTTCGACTCCAAGTCATCACTCTGTCGTTTCCTGGGATACGCCGAACACCAGAAGTCATATCGATTTGAGGAAGTGTCAACAGGAGCGATCAAGATCAGTCGCGATGCCACATTCATGGAAGACAAGTTTGATGAAGGTCCGCGCAACTACAACGATGAGTCAAGTGTCGTTGAGTTTGATGATCATGATGAGGACGAAGAAAAAGAAGAAGGTAAAACTGACGACGACATGGACTCGAGCGACGATGACAACGAAGACACCAGGTCTTCGAAGAGCAACATCAAGAGACACACGCGCACTCAATCACTTGAGAAAGCTACCGTCATTCAAGTCCCAAGCGAAGAACATACAGAGGTCCGTCGCTTGAGCATGTGTCAGCGGCTGCAATGGATTTTGAAGCAGCCTACATCGTTGATTCAGTGGGGGAAACGCCGACTACATTCAAGTCGGCGATGGAATCAAGCGACTCCGGCAAGTGGAAAGAAGCGTGTGACTCGGAGTTCGATTCGCTTCAGAGAAACGACACGTGGGAAATCGTGCCTCTTCCGAAAGGTCGCAAGGCCATCGGGTGCCGATGGGTTTTTCGTGTAAAGGAGAATCAAGATGGCGAAGTTGAACGTTTCAAGGCAAGACTTGTGGCCAAAGGATTCTCACAGAAATTCGGAGTTGACTATGAAGAAACTTTCGCACCGGTGGCCAAGTTCACATCGATTCGTGTGGTGCTCAGTATGGCGGCTAAGTACGGCCTAATGCTACATCAGATGGACGTCAAGACAGCGTTTCTTAACGGCTCCCTCAACGAAGACATCTACATGGACCAGCCGGACGGATACCTGGATGCAACACAGCCGGACTATGTGTGCAAGCTAAAGAGATCACTCTACGGCTTGAAGCAATCGCCTCGCATGTGGAACCAAACAATCGATGGGTTCATGATCAAGATGGGATTCAAGAAGTGCGAATCGGACCACTGCATCTACATCAAGCGAGACGACCAAGACATGATTCTCGTGGTGCTCTACGTCGATGATCTCATCCTGGCCAGCAGCAACAACGAACTCCTCAAGTCAACCAAGATGGCGCTGAGCAAACGCTTCGAAATGACGGATCTCGGTGAGCTCGATTACTTTCTCGGCATGGAGATCAAGAACGACCGTAAGACGGGAATGGTGACTGTACAACAAACCAAGTTTCTCAAGTCCGTGTTAACCAAGTTCGGAATGGATAACAGCAAGCCAGTGAAGACGCCTCAAGATCCCGGCCTGAAGCTAACCAAGAACATGTGTGAACAAGAATGCAAGCACGAAGACACCATGTGCAACGTGCCATATCGAAGTGCTGTCGGAGGCATCATGTATCTCATGGTCGCCACACGTCCGGATCTAGCTGCTGCAGTGGGATCATTATCCCAGTTCTCGTCCGACCCATGCCCGACTCACTGGCAAGCTTTGAAGCGTGTGCTGAGATACCTGCAAGCAACGCCCAATCATGGTCTTGAGTTTACACGTGAAGAAGGAAGCCGTATCTGCGGGTACACCGACGCAGACTGGGCCGGCGACATTGAGTCAAGACGAAGTACAAGCGGCTATGTGTTCATGATGAGCGGAGGATGCATCAGCTGGAAAAGCCAGAAACAACGGACGGTCGCGCTATCTTCAACAGAAGCAGAATACATGGCGCTTTCCGAAGCAACCAAAGAAGCAGTATGGCTCAAAGTGCTTTTGGGAACTTGGTGAGATGACAAGCGACGAAGCGATCAAGATGTATGAAGACAACCAAGGATCAATCGCTCTCGCCAAGAACCCGGAGTTCCATAAGAGAACAAAACACATCGACATACGCTACCATTTTGTGCGTGAGAAGGTGGAATCAGGTGAAGTCGTTTTGGAGTATTGCCCGACTCAAGATATGCTGGCAGACATGATGACCAAGCCGATCGCCGCTGTACAATTTGAAAACATTCGCGATCGACTTGGGATCCAAGGTGCCGCAGCTAACGAGTCGAGAGGGAGTGTTGAAAAGACAGCGGCTGTGAAGAAGACACCTCGTCAAGCTGCGTCAAGTGTTGAAGCAAGTGGAAGACCAAGCTTCGCTATACCGGTGGGTACCGGTATGTACCAGTAAGGGCGAAGTCAGGAAATGACGTCACTGGATGACGTCATTGCATGACGTCAGTGGGTGACGTCAGTGGGTGACGTCACTGGATGACGTCACTGCGAATAATAGGCTTAGAGGTAGTATTCAAAGTTGCGAACTAAGTACCTATTATAAATATATATTCACTTTGCGTTTTGCACTCGGACCAAGAAGTCTAAAGTTCATCACAACGGACGGTCGCGCTATCTTCAACAGAAGCAGAATACATGGCGCTTTCCGAAGCAACCAAAGAAGCAGTATGGCTCAAAGTGCTTTTGGGGGAACTTGGTGAGATGACAAGCGACGAAGCGATCAAGATGTATGAAGACAACCAAGGATCAATCGCTCTCGCCAAGAACCCGGAGTTCCATAAGAGAACAAAACACATCGACATACGCTACCATTTTGTGCGTGAGAAGGTGGAATCAGGTGAAGTCGTTTTGGAGTATTGCCCGACTCAAGATATGCTGGCAGACATGATGACCAAGCCGATCGCCGCTGTACAATTTGAAAACATTCGCGATCGACTTGGGATCAAGGTGCCGCAGCTAACGAGTCGAGAGGGAGTGTTGAAAAGACAGCGGCTGTGAAGAAGACACCTCGTCAAGCTGCGTCAAGTGTTGAAGCAAGTGGAAGACCAAGCTTCGCTATACCGGTGGGTACCGGTATGTACCAGTAAGGGCGAAGTCAGGAAATGACGTCACTGGATGACGTCATGCAATGACGTCAGTGGGTGACGTCAGTGGGTGACGTCACTGGATGACGTCACTGCGAATAATAGGCTTAGAGGTAGTATTCAAAGTTGCGAACTAAGTACCTATAATAAATATATATTCACTTTGCGTTTTGCACTCGGACCAAGAAGTCTAAAGTTCATCAGTTCCCACACCCTTGATGGCCACCTTGTTGCCATCAGCCACCAAGAGTTCGCCCTCATTGCGCTCTGCCAAACTTGCGAACTTGGTCTTGTCGTGGCAAATGTGGTGCGTTGCACCACTGTCGACGGCCCACATTCCAGACACGTCCTTGCTCGTCGAAACTCCACATTCGAACGAGACTGCAAACGCCACTCGATCGTAGCCATTGCCTTCATCATGATGTCCCCACTGGACATTGCTAGCCCCGCGTCCACGACCATTGCCGCCGCGTCGGGCTCCCCGACCTTCGTTCTTCTGCTTTGTCCAGCAACGATCCACCGTGTGTCCCACCTTGCCACAATACGTGCATTGGTAGGGCTCACGCTCGGCGCTGAATGCCTTGCTTGCATCTTCAGCCTTCACCGTAGTCGCTGTCGTTGTCCCTTTTTCTCCTTGACGCTTGGCATGCTCATTCGTCAGGACTCTCACCACATCTTGAGTGCGAAGCTCGGTGCTGCTCATTTCCATGTTGAGCACCACATTTTCGTAGCTCTTTGGAAGACTGAGTAGCAGACAAATTGCAACGTCTTCGTCTTCCATCTTCGCACTGATGCCGCTAAGCTTGGCGGAGATGTTGAGGACCTCGTTGCAATGATGCATGACGTTCGCGCCTTCAGCCATCTTGATACTGAAAAGTTGTCGCTTGAGGTAGATGCGTCCTGCCTTCTGCGACCCACCGTACAGCGTCTTCAGACTTGTCCACGCAACCCAGGCTTCCTCGCAGTTGTCCAGCACATGATGGTAGTCCGCGTTCATGTGCAGCAGCATCATACCAAACGCGACGTTGCTTGCCCTTGACGTAGTCATCGGACGCTCGCGGGTCGGTGAAAGTCGGAGTCACTTCACGGTTGACAACGTGCCAGACGGACTTCGTCAAAAACACACCGCGCATGTACCGGCTCCACGTTGCGTAATTGTCTCCGTTGAACTTGTCAATGGAGGCGTTGCTGGTGGACGACATGGCGTTTGGGCTCATAACCTGTTGTATTGTAGATCGGAGCGAGGAAAGCGGAGCAAACGGAGCGGAGAGACCGAAGAGAGTAGAGCAGAAAACACTTGCCCAATAGTTGGAAGATTCGAAAGTGATTGATTATCGGGGCTTACTACTTACTACATGATTTATATGTGGTGTACATATAAATCATGTGAAGCGTCTCATCATCCTACGCGTCTAATCAACTATGGTAATTACCGTAAGAACTACGTCGTAAATACTAAGCTGAACAGGCGGTTCGGATTGGATCGGTCACGGTTACCAATACTGGTAGAAAACCGATGACCGTCAACAACACTGCGATGGATATCGAATCGATGGATATCAGCGAGGATCCTCACCCTATGCAGTTCAAGCAAACATGAAAATGCAAAAGCCGTGCAAACAGCCAAGAACAAGTTCTAAGACGGACACTTCCTGAGCGTTGTGGAACCGGGCTAGAAGAAGCAAGTGCCCCGGATGACTTTGAATCGCACCAAGCGAAGCGACGGTCAAGCGCTCGAGCCAATATGGACGAAGAGCGAAAGGGCAGTGACGAAGATAACGAGGATGCTACACCTCAAGCCTTTTGGAGAGCGAGTGCCAACACAGTCGAATTTACTGACATTTCCGAGCCGACAACGTTTGAAGATGCTGTTGGTGGACCAGATCAAGTGCATTGGCGTAAAGCAATCTGTGCCGAGCTGGACTCGATGAAACTTCGTGGCGTGTTTTGAGCGACCAAACTGCCAGATGGACAGCATACCATTGGCATCAACCCTGGGTATTCAAGATAAAAAGGAAAGCTGATGGATCCATCGAGAAATGCAAGGCGCGTCTCGTGGCAAAAGGGTTCAAGCAGAAATATGGCATCGACTACACGGAGACGTTTTCGCCGGTGGTCATGTTGACGGTCATCGGTTTTCTACCAGTATTGGTAACCGTGACCGATCAATCCGAACCGCCTGTTCAGCTTAGTATTTACGACGTAGTTCTTACGGTAATTACCATAGTTGATTAGACGCGTAGGATGATGAGACGCTTCACATGATTTACATGTAGACCACATATAAATCATGTAGTAAATAGTAAGCCCCGATAATCAATCACTTTCGAATCTTCCAACTATTGGGCAAGTGTTTTCTGCTCTACTCTCTTCGGTCTCTCCGCTCCGTTTGCTCCGCTTTCCTCGCTCCGATCTACAATGCAACAGGTTATGAGCCCAAATGCCATGTCGTCCACCAGCAACGCCTCCATTGACAAGTTCAACGGAGACAATTACGCAACGTGGAGCCGGTACATGCGCGGTGTGTTTTTGACGAAGTCCGTCTGGCACGTTGTCAACCGTGAAGTGACTCCGACTTTCACCGACCCGCGAGCGTCCGATGACTACGTCAAGGCAAGCAACGTCGCGTTTGGTATGATGCTGCTGCACATGAACGCGGACTACCATCATGTGCTGGACAACTGCGAGGAAGCCTGGGTTGCGTGGACAAGTCTGAAGACGCTGTACGGTGGGTCGCAGAAGGCAGGACGCATCTACCTCAAGCGACAACTTTTCAGTATCAAGATGGCTGAAGGCGCGAACGTCATGCATCATTGCAACGAGGGTCCTCAACATCTCCGCCAAGCTTAGCGGCATCGGTGCGAAGATGGAAGACGAAGATGTTGCATTGTAGATCGGAGCGAGGAAAGCGGAGCAAACGGAGCGGGAGAGACCGAAGAGAGTAGCGCAGAAA